ACCTCCAGGGACCCTCGCGAAAGCAATACATTCAGAAAGTCTGTCTGCATGTTCCCTACCTGAAATCACAATCCTGTGTGTGACATCAGTCACTTCCACAGCAATCAGTAGATGTAACAGAGGATCCTGACTTTGGGTAAAAGGAAAAAAGCAGCTGGAGCTGATGAAGCTTTAACCGACAAAATCTCTTTTCCTGCTGTTCCTTGGGAATCAAACCCTAGGGAGGGCAGGCACATAGGGATGTCATTTTGCCTGGAGGGTACATGGAATAGCACACAGAGGCAATTACTGCTGCACTGACACTATCACAGAGCACAAGGGTGCAAAGAGATGTTGCACCAGAACTGCAAGAATTCACCCCAAAACCCCACACAGGCAGGGGTATCTCCAAGTGGCACAATCCAGTGTTTACATTAAGCTGGGTTTCTTGCTTCCCTTTGAAAGCAAATGTGTTCCCAATTGGGTGGCCTTTACCAATCAGCTACCCCCAGCGTGGGAACCTTACCGCTGGGGCACAGCAAGCGTTCCATTTTAATGGCACGGGGAAAACACGGTCACAGCCACATGCTGCACAGGCACTTCATGCACAGTCCACCTCAGGTATACACGCATGCGCATGCTTCGGCACACATACATGCACACATCACAGAGCTGCAGATACACATCCCAGCACAGCATGCTCCAGCAGTGTCTCCAGAGCCAGTAGGAATGGCCTTTCCTTTACACTGAGGAGTACAGAAGAGTAAATCCCATGCCAGCCCACACATCCCTGGGCCTGGCCAGTGGTGGCAGCATCAGATGGGTGCTCCTTGGCGTAAGTGGGGTGGGGGAGTGCTAGGTGCCCCTGAATGCACCGCGACAGGTGCCAGGCAGGACAACCAGCGGCATCGCCAGGACTGGCTCGTCTGAGGGCAGGCCCGTCCGAGGGCAGAGGCACCTCGGCCTGTCTGACCCGGCCCCTCCCGGGCACAGCGCTCCGCAAGGCTCGGCCGCCGCTCGAGACGCGCCCTGGCCTCGGGGCTGGTAGCGACGAGCTCCCAGGGACCCTCCTCTTCCGAGCTGTCCCGGCGCCAGGGCCTGCCCCAGCCCCGACGGGCCCCGCACCCCGCCCGCTGGCGGCGGACAAAGGAGG